CTCAACTCTGTCATTACGAACTCCAAGCTCTTCAACATCAAAACAGTCTTTGATATAAAGGGCCACACCACTACCCTTCTTTCCTCGTCTATCCCTTCTGAAGAGCTTGTAACCATCTATCACAGCACTCCAGTCATGGGAGTGGTCCCACCATGTTTCAGTAATAGCAACAAGGTCATAATTTGCCTCATTCACAATCACTTCCGACTCATCTTTCTTGTTGCTCATGCTGCGTGCATTGGTATAGATACACTTCAGTCGAGTCGTCTGCCTCCCCCCCAGCTTAATCATCGTTCTCTTAGGCTCATCTCTTGCAGGGCCTGGTTTGTCCCCTTCCCCCTTCATATCCAGTTTAAAGCTCTTTCTATAAGCCCTGCTAGCTCTTGCGCTAGTATTCATTGCCCCCTTAGAGATAGGCGGGTTCCACGGACAGACAACAGGCCAGGGGCCGAGTAAACCACCCCATGATCAAAGAATCCAAAGTTTCTGGCTCGACACCAGCCTCCGAGCCAATTATTCATTGCTCGTATTTTCCAATCCCGCTCGGTGTCCCTTACTGCCCCCCCTGAAGGTATAGAGCAGAAGATCACTTGAGCTCCCGCTCCTTCAACTAAACGCCCTAAATCCCTGAAATCTTTTTTCATAGTTTGTAGACTTGTCTGAGCAATCTCATCACTGCCCACCTGAACTACGAGCAATGGGAAGTAGTCTGATGACCTAACCAGCTTAGGGAGTTTCCTGGCTATGTCCCTGACCTGAGCCCCAGGAAGGCAGCACACTTCCCGACAGACCGGGTCAGGTCTGCATATGGGGCCCTCTGTTCCTCTGAGGAGGGAGTCACCCACCACGACCACCCTTCTTTCTTTTCTGTCAGAGGCAGTCTCAAGGCGTGGGGGGACCACGTCGCCCTAGGCTCTCTTCTATGCAGATCCTCCTTTGCCTCTCCACTCACCTCCCCTTCTACCTCCAGCAACTGGAACCTGTTGCTTAGAGGGAGCTGGGGAAGCAGGCTAGGCAGGTGGGGGTGTCTCCTGTGACACCGAGTAGGGACTCTCTTGAGAGATGTTTGTCTCTTTACTCTCTAATGTGATATGTGAAGCTGTATGCAACATTGTCCATGATGATGTGAGAACTTTCTGTTTTGCTGTTAGGAGCCAGCTGTGCTGCAAAGTACCAACAGAAGGGCACAGCAGGCAGTATCCCCACTGACACTGATTTTTGTGACTCTTCCTCCACAACCCCAAAGTTATGAGGAGTTGGGTTGGGAAGTTGCCCTCATTTGAATCAGGGCAAAATGTCATTCATTTTTTGTCACTAGGCAGAAGGAGCAGATGAAGAAGCTCCATAACTCAAACTGGGTGGATGAGCGGCTTCTGTTCCACGGGACAAACCCATCTCATGTGCCAGCCATCTGTGAGCAGAATTTTGACTGGAGGATCTGTGGCACTCATGGGACAACGTATGGAAAAGGTACAAGCACACGAGCCGGACTTGCATCGAAATTCTTAGGGTGTTTCTAGAACTCAGGGAACAGCTCAGCACGAGCTGTGTTTTCTACTTATCCTATTTCTTTAGACTTTCTCTTATTGGTGAAGCAGCAAAAAGCTGTTTCTGCTACTGGTGAGAGCAGCCAGGTCAACTCATGTAGTCCTACCATGGACCCACTCCCAGCTGCGGTGGGGACTCCATAGGCAGGCTTGATGGGAGGGAGTTCATGGCATAGCATGATGGGCTGCACATATGGCCAGAGTCTGTGTGAGGTGGCAGCCTCTGATGCCCACACACCTGCCCTTAGTGCAATCTCATCTGCTCATGCCTGCATCACTGCAAGCCATGTCAGCAGCCTTCAGGAGGGATGGAAAACATTCCTCTTTGCCTCAAGTATTTGCTGTTTAGCAAAGCTTTTAGACAGGTGGGACAGAGATGTTGATGGAGAAATATGGCTAACATCTGTCTGCTTTAAAAAAAAGCCCACATGAAAACACTTGGCAAGGATATGTTCAGAGCTATTCGGGGCTGTTGAATCACTGGCTGCCAAAGAGCTGATAGCAGATGTTCGTTCCTCGGTTGATGCATTCTCTTACCTGTGGCTTTTCCTGGTCCTAGGAAGCTACTTCGCCAGAGATGCCAGTTATTCTCATGACTACTGTTCTTCTAGGATCAGCCGCTACAGCATGTTTGTAGCTCAGGTTCTTGTTGGAAAATTTGTTCAAGGGAACTCTGAATACCTTCGTCCTCCACCCACACCAAACAATCGCAACAGACTTTATGACAGCTGTGTGGATAACCCGGAAAACCCTTCCATCTTTGTCATCTTTGAGAAACTCCAGATTTACCCTGCCTATATCTTGGAATACAGCAGTAGTTCTCTATGTGTGATCCTTTAATGAATGGCAGAATATTCTTTGTATTTACACTGAAACACTTTAATAAATCTTTTTCTTCATGTTTGTACAGTTTTAGGACTTGCTAATGCTAAAATTTCCTTTAAGATACTAAAGAACATTTCGTAATGCAAAACAGTATCAATCTCTCAAGGGCCTTGGGGGCATAGTTTTTGTTGCAGGACTTATCCTTTTGCCAACAGAAGGTGCTAAAGTTCCACCTTATCTCTTGCCTGGGGGGGGGTCATACATACATACTGGGGTGGCTCTGCATACTCTAATGCAGTCGTGTTCTGATGCTGGAAGGAGCACTGCTGAATGTATGATTAGCTTTGCTTTGTTTTAATGATCAAATCACTGTTGGCACTTCTCACCCTCTTCTTCCACATGCAGCCTACCCACCTGCTGGGGATGCCATATCTTGAGCGTCCTCATCCTATCCCCATCCTGCAGATGGTGTCCTCGTCCAGTGCCCATGGGAAGAACCCCTTCCTCATTGCAGAATTTCCCTGGATTTAGGCCAGGAGAACCAGAGGTACGGCAGCTCACCACCCTGCCATGACTTTCACAGTGAGGAAATTTGTGGTGATCTGAATAATGCTGTGTGGTAGAGTCCCACTGGGGCTTCAAAGGAGCCCATACTATTTCAGGATAATTGTGTGCAACCCTCAGTTTACATCATTTCTAGCAGCGGTCCCACCTCCAGGTGTGGTTTGCTGCTCTTCTCCCAGTGCCAGTGCTGGTGACTACCAGGGTGAGCAGGGTCAAATGCAGTACATTCACCTACTTGAAAGGTGACTTAACCAAAACAAACAAACAAACCACTTGAAATAAACAATTGCAAAATATCAACAAGAACAATTCCCAGTTTAGCTTGTGCCAGGACTGATAAAGAAGAGGTGAAGCTGCAGCACTGACTGGCAAAGGATGATACTTAAACCGAGAGCCCAGGCAGGGCTTTGTATGGTAAAAGATTTGGTCCCTAAGACTTGGGTCAGTAAGGTGTTGAAATCACTATTAAAAATGAAAAGCAACTCAATCTGCAAATACTTCCTCCCGAGGGTTTTTCCTTGATATTGTGAATCTGCGAGAACTTCTTGCAGATCTGAAATTCCTGCTGCCTCTGGAGTACCTGCACACCTCCCAAGTTCTGCAGCTGTGAACGAAAGCATTTCTCAGAACCCTTTCAGGTAAGAAATGCTTGCAGATAGGCAGCAGCATGTGCAGTTGTCAGCAGGCACTTGCGGGAGCGGGATTGTGGAACCCAGTGACAACTCCATACGAGTTACCAGCTAAGTCCAACTTTAATCAGTTAACACACCAATATATACACTAACAAGTACCCTTGGCCGCGTATGATTGGTTATACAAGTCCGCGCATAACCTATCACCGCGCGTATCCGATCACTGGGTGAAAGCTGTCACCGTGACAACACGGAACCTGTCACCGTGACAACGCGGAATTCCCCCGGAGCCGCCTCTTTTTTCCCGCCAAACTCCTCATTGGACACAACTCAGCAACCACTTGTTTAGCGTAAATCCTCACAACCTCACCACGTCCCCAACATTCCCGAGGTGGCCCCGCTCCCCAAGCCACCCCTCCACAGGCACTGAACATGGATCTGACAGGTTTGTGGGCTCTTCTTCCCAACAAAACAAAACAAAACAAAACAAAAAAAAAAACACAGGTGGGGTGGGGGTGGGGGCAGGAAAGCATGAGAATTTCTCTATTCTGTTGAGAGCAGATTAAATGACTTCTGACTCAGACACACATGAGTGACAGCTTCAGAGTCACTGAGATAGTGGTGGAGAAGGCCTGACTGGGAAACACAGTGAATAGCCAGGCTGCTTTCTGTGGAGTTTGCTGCTTTCTGTACCAGCTGGGTTGGTGCTGGGTGGGCAAGTGTCAAGGTGGGCTTGTCCATGGTCTGTGGAGCTCACCCTGTTGATGGGTATGGAAGAAAGCTGCTCTCAGCATGAAATTAAATAATTGGTTGGGATCTCAACTTCTCTATGTTTCCAAAACATTGCCTGTTTGCAGGGTGCTGTGGGAGCACTTTACCTGTGCATGACGGAGAGGTTTACAGAGTGTGGCAGCTGAAGAGAGGAAAGAGAGGGCTCTGCTGAGAGGTCAGCCCATCTCATCAGGAATCTCCAAATAGGAGTTTTTGGATTTGTTTTAGGGAAAAATAAACAAATCCAAATATGCACTCATAAAACTTATCTTCTACTTGTGAGAAAGAAGGAGGAAGCAGAGAAAAGCAAGCTGGAAGTACAAAGCTGCTCCTTGAGCTGGTGGCACTGGCTGTAGAGGAGAATTCGAGATGGTAGTGTCTGGGACCACGGCTGACTCCTCCATCAGGAATGCGGCAAAGGTAGACAGTTCTGAGAGGAAAGGTTGCTTTTGGCACAGGTGACTTCCTTGCTCCACCTGGGAAATCTGTTGGATCCAGCTGGGAATGGGATGGATTGAGCTGGTCTGGGCTCCATCAGGAAGGGTTGTTGGTGGTGAGGTGCAGCCAGAGCTTCTTCCTCCACCTCTGTGGGGGAACCCTGTCTTCTTCCTCTGCACTTGATCTCCTGAAGATCTCCTGTCTCTGTATTGGCAGCTTCTTTGGTTATTCCTTTAACAATTGCCTCGCAGGAACCAGCAACAACTTCAGAAGAATCAATTGTTTTATACTCATATAAATGAGACACTTCTTCCACATACAGAGAAATGCATACTTTTCTCTGCCTGCAAAGATGTTAGCTCAAGTGATTATTTCACTATAATTTATTTCTAATTGATTTCCCGGTGAAGGCCTTCACAGTGTCCCTGGTTTTAATATTGTTGGTTACGTATTTATGCACCTGTTCCAGGCTTTCTATTAAATGACACCTCAGCAAGTTTTAAGGCCTTCTTTTAATTCAGTGATGCCAAGTTTCACTTTCCAGCAGTTTTTAAGAATTCTTTTAACAGTTTCAAGAGGATTTATTACAGATGATTAAATTATAGAAACCTAATTCTTGATTGAACATCCTGAAGAACATGTTGTTTTCCAAAGCACTTAAACTCCTAAAAGTCAATCTGAGCCCCATAACCTGGTACTACTGCTGTATGGGGGCCAGGTGGAGAAAAGACAGATATTGTTCTTGGCATGACATGCTTAACAATTGCATTATTTAACAAGGCTCTTTCTGGACTGAGAGAATAACAGTCCAGAATTAATGTGTGGTTGAGGTAATGATGTGGGACTAAGGGTTTGTAGGATTGCAGAAGGCATTATCGGCTGGAATCAGACTTTCAGAGCTCAGGGAATAACTTTAATTGCTCCTGTTCTTTTGCAGTCCTGCTTTTTTTGATGAAGTCTGTTGTCTGATGTATTGAGTCCTAGACACAGTTTCCATTCAAACTATCTTTCCAAAATTACTTTTACATCTAGCTTACAAATATGTGCAGTAGAGAAGGCTGACCTGGACCAGATCCATCTGTTCTTAATAAGTTTTGATTTTCATTCCAGATGCTTTACTGCATTTTCAAAGACCCATTAATCAGTGTGCCAGAGCTCAACCTGTAAATACTTGGCAAGTGTCTGCATATGATATTCTAACCACTGGAGGAAGCTATGTCTTTACTCATTCCCAAAGAGAAGTATTATTTCACTGTGTGTTCTCTGAATCATTTTTCTTGGGCTGTATGTTCAGCTCTGGACTCCTAAAAATTCTTTTTCAAAATTATTTTCCCTTTACTAAGTCCAAAGGAGATGTTAGAAGTCACGTTGTTCTCTGTTTTCTTTAACATTCTGTGCACTCTTTCAATCTTGCTTTCTCTAAATCATAGAGTCATAGAAGGGCTTGGGTTGGAAGGGACCTTAAAGTCCACTCAGCAGCTCAGGCTGTGCAGGGCCCCATCCAACCTGGACCTGAGCACCTCCAGAGATGGAGCACCCACAGCTTTTCTGGGCAGCTGTGCCATTGACTCACCTCTAGGACAGATGATCTTTATTATCTTTATCAATGACCTACATAGTGGGATCAGGGGCACCCTCAGAGAGTTTGTAGATGACCCTAGGCTGAGTGGTGAAGTTGATATGACAAAAGGAAGAGGTGCCATCCAATGGAACAGAAGCATCCAATGCACAAAACTGTAAGCTACTGATCAGGTTTTGCATATGAACTCGGGGAGAATCAGGAATATTGACTTCTACAGTTGAAACATTGATAAAACCAAATAATATTCTTGCCAACTACCCGGAGTCAAGCACCTGTTCATTTATGAGGGTGGCATGCAAGAAGCAGAAAATGGCATGTTTGGGTTCAAGCATAGCAGTGTCAAAGAAGAAAATAAAAAACCTTTTAGAACTTGCTCGCTTCTGTGAGGATTTGGAAACCAGACTATTTTCTGGGCTGTGAAGTGATTACAACAGTCCAGGAATTCCTGCTGAGTCTGGACTTCTCCCTCAGGACTACTTTTAAGCAACCTGCCAGAAGCTGATCCTTTCCTTCTCCCTTGTGTGGTTGTTTTTTTTTGGTTTCTTTTTCTTTTTTATTTAAATCTCTTTTGCACTTTTGGTCTTTCCTTACTCTCATTCATTCATGCTGGTTGATTCTGGCTGGATGATTCTCTACAGTGGACCAGGTATGGGAAGCAGGTAAAATCCATGGCAGCCCTGACACCCAGCTCCAAGTCCTAGCCCCTAGCAGAGGAAAAAGTGCTTAGACTATTAAATACTTCATTTCTGATTCTATGCTGAAAACTTACAAAGACTTTCTTTTTAAAGCATTCAAAGGAAAAGTATTATGATGATAGTTTCAAACCAAAACCTAGGTCATGGTGCATGTCAAGCCATGAGTAAAGTCTTGAGCAGTTGTGAAAGAGGAAAAGCTAGGAAGGAGACCTGCGTTTGCCGAGGCTGCTGTGGGAGGAGGGCTGCATGAAAGATTCTTTTGGTTCTCCATTGCTCTGGAGTGCCTGTTCAACTACAGGGTGACATTTGAAGAAGAGAAGGCCTAATCATGAACATGCATCATTTGAAGCACACACATTTGTACCGAGGAGTGGGACTGCAATAGTTAAAAACTTGCTGT